CACCTTTCCATTTTTACAAAAGAAAGGCACACCTCTCACCACCCAGTGTCTTATTAGGGTGCACTAAACTTAGAAGGATATCTGAAAAGTAAAAGGACTACCTGAAGTATTGCATAGATGTTAATACAACAAGTGCTTTCACGACTGGGCAACAGATATGATTGCAAGTAATGTCCAACCCTCTGCTTTTAGCACAAGTGAAGGATCACATTTGAAAGATCACTGAAAACATTTTTTGGCGATAGATCACTGTGTGATTTTTGGCAATATAACTCTGAAGAAATTCAAAGAATTGAGTGATGTTGTACAAACAAATCCCTTTCCAATCCCACCTATGTATGTGAACAGGTTTGTTAAGCAAAGGGATAAGAGATGACACCCCATCTATAACAAAAAGAGCAGATTCTATAATAGATGATCGGAGAAGAAGTCAAGACAAATGAACATATTCAATTCACCTCGTTTAGTCAGAAACAATTTATTCCTGAAGTTAAATTGTTAATATGTAACAGGAGGGTGAGTAGAAACTACCCAATTTGAATTCAAATATTTAATGACTTCAAGTCTGATTTTCTGTGTGACAAAGATAATTTTGGTGGTGGGAGAGTGGTGAGCAACGAACAGACTAGAATGTTACTATAGCCATATAAATCACTACACTTTGCTAGGAAGGCAGAGACACCACAATAAATCTAGTTAGCATTCATCACCACACAGTTACAAATTTTGTGTGTATAAGAACTTTTAAGATTTACTCTTTTAGCAACATTCAAATTTAAAAAAAAAATAGTCTTATTAGCTATTATCACCATGACGTGCATTACATCACCATGATTTATTTATCAACTGGAAGTTTGTACCTTTTGACTCCCTTCACTCATTTCACCACCACCCTCCCTCCACCCAGCCCCGTCTCTGCCAACTGCCAATCTGTTCTGTTCTCTGTATCTATTAGTTCATTTGTTGTTGTTGTTGTTGTTGTTATTGTTTTGGATTCCACATATAAGTGAGATCATACAGTATTTGTGTTGATCATTTTGCGGGACATAACAAATATCGAATTATTATATCATACACCTGAAACTAGTGTTATATGTTAATTATATCACAATTTTTAAAAAAAATACCCTGTTGAACCAAACAAACAAAAAAGGCAGAGACAAAGTGCAATGAGAACTCCAATTGTAAATGACATGGTGGGTTGATAATTTGTTGTCACTTTTGGATATATATATATATATCCACTATCTAAAAATTGACAGTTTTACTCCCAGCAGTTTTCACCTGCCTTTGATGAAGAAGGACTGAGTTATCAGCAAGTACTAGGGATGGGTTAATTCTTTCTATACCACACTTCAGTATACAGATGGTCCCCAACTTACAATGGTTTGGCTTATGATTTTTTGACGTTACGACGGTACATAAATACGACCCAGGAGAAACCATTTTGAATTCTGAATTCTCATCTTTTCCCAGGCTAGCAATATGGGGGATGATAGCCTCCGGTGATCCTGGGCAGTGGTAGCTCCCAGTCAGCTCTAAGTCACCAGGATAAAAAACTGATACACTTAAACTGTCCTGTATGTACCCAGATAGTCATTCTGTTTTTCACCTTCGGTATATCATTCAATAGATTGCATGAGATATTTACCACTTTATTATACAACAGGCTTTGTATGAGATGATTTTGCCCAAATATATAGGCTAATGTAATTGTTCTGAGCACGTTTAAGGTAGGCAAGGCTATGATGTTCAGGTTCCGTGTATTAAGCGCATTTTGGACTTATATTACAATGGGTTTATTGGATCGTAACCCTGTCATAAGTCGAGGGAGATCTGTACTCCGCCAGTACAGAAACATTTGTTTACATTAAAAAGACATATAATAATAAGTCTAAATTTTTAAAAATAAGTGTGTCTAAACCTTGGAGCAATCTTTCCAAGCATACATCTTCTGCATTTTTATCTTGTCATAAACCATAATGCTCCCCATTCTTCCAATTCCTTAAAGCAAATTTACAGATGAGTGTGACTATCTCTACTTAGAGCCAAGCTTATCTTTCACACAGGGAGTCAACTTCACATGGATTCAGTGATGATCCTTTGAAGGAGTTAGAAGAGCTGTATCATTTCATCCTCATGCATGACTGAGGGGTATAAAATCCCCATTCCACCTCCAGGACTAGAGTGCAACCCACAGACACGTGCACGCGCACAGAAAGAGCAACCCAGGGTAAGATTTAGCAAACCTGAGGGACTATCAGTTGAAATTTTCCACTCTAAAACAATTGCATCAGAGATGGCAGTGCCAGGAGCCGTGTTTTATAGTTGACTTCCCCCAAATTACGATGCAGCTCAGATTCAAAGTCTCTATTATAATCTTTGGCAGAAGTTTTTAAGACCATTTTTATTTACTCCAAACTCTATCTGAACTAAGTCAGCACAGGCCCTTTGCAATTTTTACATCAAGTGTTTCAAGCTGTAATTAAATGAGCAGTGGAACTCCAAGGAAGCACCGAGAGAAAGCATCAGGGCATCACTTATTGATTGGTGGAATTTTAGGGATTCGAAATTTCTGTTTTATTGTACCACTGCACTTCATTACCATTTATCCTTAAAATGTAATAAGTACAAACTGCTTCAGCAATGATGGAAAAGCTTTCTCAGCTTTAATGAAACCTTTTATTTGCTACTGAAACTTTTATTATTTCCAAATGGTGGCATAGGCAAGAAAAATAATCCCTACTTATATTGACGAGAAACTTCAGCAATTTGAATAATTTTGTTCTTGGATGAATTCTAAGGCATTTAGAGTTGTTATTCTTACGTTTATTGTTTTCATTTACTTTTGATGAACTAAAAACAAAAAAATTACACATATACACGTTGCTACAAAATAATTTTCTAATTATATATCAAAATGCTAGATAGCCATGTACAGCAATCACTTGTCAGATGTTGGTCTGATCTGGATAGGAATTTCTACATATCTAGGGCTCCAATACATCTCAGCTATTGGCCATGAGATGCAATGCAGTGTAATTGCAAGTGCACAGGCTGTGAAACTGGATGGCCTGGTTTTGCTTTGCAGCCCTGACACCTGCCTACCTGTGAGACCTTTCGAAATTTTCAGACCTTAGTTTCCTTCCCTGTGAGAATGAGGGTGACTAGAACCTGCCACATGAAATGGGTGGGAAAATTAAACGAGGTATATCATGTGAAGCATTATTTTACAGCATGGCACATGGTAAACACTTGTTCAGCTCTAGTATGCTTTTCATATGTGAATACGTCCACCTCCAGACTGGAGGGGGTGTCAGAACACACCATTCATTCAACAAACATTTACTGAGCTTTACTTTACGCAGAACAAGGTCCTAGGTAAAGGAGGCACAAAGATTAATAAGATAGTGCCTACTCTCCAGGAGCTTACAATTTTAGTGCAAAATTATTGTTACCATCTTAATATCTTTCTCGAAGAGTACCATGAAGCATACTCCCTCCCTAGATCATAAATTTTCCTTTTTTCCAATGTGCTTGGAACTAACGGAGCTTCAGAAAAATTTCACTTCAGTTTCTGAAATCTTAATCATGCACAATTTAATAAGCAGCTACAGGTTTTTCCACATTTTAAAATGGATGATTAAATGGCCTAATAAGATTCTAACTTAGCCAAAAACTTGAAAAACATAGGAAGACAACCATGACTGACACATTCATTTTCCCGAATGTGGACATACTGCAAACAGCAGCTGCAGAAAAATAGGGCCATTTACATCCCACATGACCCACGGCTAACTAAAATTGCACAGGAGTTCAGCATCAAAGTGTTAAAGTACCTAAACTAAATTCAATTTGAGATAAAATGAGAAGAAGCTTGTTTAGTCGGAGCTACACTGCTTTCCAAAAAAAGTTCTGAAATTGACTTCCAACATGGCACCTTGTATACCTCTAGTTTTTCAAACATTCTGTTCACATCATTACACTCAGTGAATTCATTAAAAAATAAAATCTTGAAGTTCGACTATAAATCCTAAACACAATGACTAATGTGGTATTTCAGACATCACAAACTCCAAATGATCTTAAATATGTTGTCCTCTACTAATTTGCTGCTCTTGAAAATGTGCAATAAATCCAATTAAAAAGGAAAACATTTTCAAATTAGTTGCAAGATCAACTAGAATATGATCTGCTTACTAGATGTATCATAATAAAAAAACCACCTAATATGCATTACATTGTTTAATTTAGGAGGACATTGGATATTCTCCCTTCCAACAAAAGGACCAAGACCTTTTATTTCTTAAACAACATCCAATAATGACTGTGTTAACTTTCTAGAATAGATTAAATAATTGCCAAATACATCTTCTGAGGAGGCACCCTGCCCAAAGCAACAGGAGATCATGTGTAAACACACAAGGACACAATTCCTTCCTTCTCTCCTTCCTCTTCAGTATCATACCACCTTCCCTGGTCAAAACCCTTTTAAGGATCCCTATGACCCTGAAATAAGGGGCACCCCTCACAGTAGAACCTCCCTCGACATTAAATCAACTCACACCTCGTTTCTCTGCAAGACGCCACAGTGAAAATTTTTCTCTCGTTCCCAAAGCTCCAAACGAATGCATATTTTGGTGACCTCTACTTTTGCATTCAAACACACATGTCCCACGCCATGGGATCTTTTTGATCCCAGCTAACGTCCCTGCTTAATGTATGCGTTTTTCACATCCATTTTTTAATCCTTCCAGAGTGAAAATTTCAAAGAGGCGAACGTCGGTGAAAGAAGCGAGGAAAGGGAGGGAGGAGATAGGAAGCCTGGGATTTCTGCCATCCTCAGCGCAACCCAGAATCCGTATTATTTGTTTCTTCTTCCCCAGCCTCCCTCTCGCTTCCCCCTCTCGCCCCTTCCCCCGCAGCAGGAGGGAGGAGGAGGGGCCGCTGGCTGAAGCCGCCACCTGCCGTGGGGTGGAAAAGCTCCAGTTGTCACTTACCCAGCCGGGTGAGAATGGCTCATTTTTGCAGGATCCCTTTTGGACCCCGCGGCAGGTGCGGAGGTCGGGTGCGCGGGGCCCTGTGCGCGCTGGCGCAGCGACACTTGCGCTCGCAGGGTGGCTCCGCAATGCGGTCGCCCGTGCGCGGGCCACCTGAGCTGGGCCGCCGCCGCCGCAGAGCTGCCCTGTGGCCTCCCGGGCCCCCACTCGCTGGCGGTATCCATAGCCTCGCGGTTGCTAAGGGAGGAGGGAAGGCGAGCGCGGAGGTTCTGGAAAGGCCCAAGCGCTGCTGGAGCGGAGCCTGGGGAAGCTGCAAGGGCAGCTCACTTTTTCTGGGTCCTAATGTGGGAGGAGACCCAGGCCGCTGCTCTGTTGCCCTGGGCGCGGGTTCCCCAGGCACCTGTAATCTGGAAACAACACACACACACACACACACACACCCACTCACTCACTCACTCACTCACGCACACCCATTTAGGCTGGTGTGCTTCCTGCTAGGCCCTGGGGAAGGAAGGGCTGGGTGGTGGCTGCAGGTAAGGGTAATGGAAGTCCAGAGCTGCTCCACGGTGATGCATGGGCTTTCAGTTGTAAAACAGTCCCTAGATTGCAAGTTCAAGGGAAAGAAAGAGGTCTTTCTCAATCTGTTTGGGGTTTTGATTTTGATTCTGATCTCAAAGGCATGGCAATCCCTTCATTTCCTCTTTGGAAAATCTCCATCCTTGCTCCTACTGAGGTCCCCACTCCCAGCAGGCAGTGCCCATAGGTCTGAAGTCCAGAAGGTGGGACGGTGCAGTTTCTCAGGAGCATGCTAGAATCGCCCTTGTATGAATCCAGCACAGAGAAGGCAGGGCTTCCGTGAAGAAGCCTGGATTTACAGGAGAGGCCCTTGGTGTGGAGGAAGCTTAAAGCACTGGACTTAGATGACCTTTCCCGCGTCCTGTTTTACTTTGTCAGGTTGTTTGTTGCAGGACTTGATCTCTGGCCTCAGGTTCCTCCTGTGTAAGGGACAGGCTGGACTGAGTCACATGGTGACTGAGCCCTCCACGGATCTCCATTCTAGCTCAAACACTTGCAGGCATTCTGCTTTCCCACACATCATAAAGACCCACTGAGCATGTCAGAGTCCGGTTTCCTTCACTTGATATTCAAGGTCCCTCATCACTGGACCCCTGCATCCCTCATCAGTCCCACTGTGACCACTTTCTCCCCCTCTGCTACCCTTACCTCTAGCAAAACCAAATCTTGAACCATCCTGTGAATGGGAACATACTCCTTCCCTTAACCACTGGACTAACTTCTATGCATCTTTCAACACTTACCTTGCACACCACCTTCTCTGATGTCCCCAGGTGTGCTGATGACTCCCATGTCTGGGGCCCCGCTCTCCCTGGGCGTACCTCTGTTTTACACCCCCACTCTGCACGACTGCCCTTGCTGGCAGATGGCTGTCTCTTCTACTTGAACGTGAGCGCCTCTAGTTCATGTGGTACATGGATTTTATTTCTCAGTCTCCTCAGAAGCAAACAGTAGTGTTCAACAAACATTCGGTGTATAAATGAAGGAAACAGATTTTTTAAATCTTGTCAAAGTGGTAGTCTTTTTATTGACCACTTACTCAATGCTCTCCTCAGCCTTTTATGATCATTATCTCATTTAATCCTCCTCTCTATTCTGTGAGGAAGGTTTTCTCCTCCATTTCACAGCTACCCAAGCTAAGACACAGAGGAGCTAATTATTTTGCTTGAACTCTACAATAGCTCCTAAGTGGAAAAACAAGGATTCAAATCCAAGTCTCTCTGATTCCAAAGCCCACAGTGTTGTTTTTTAACAATGACAACATTCCTTCCCCCATGATTCCTGTGAGTTGCCGCAGGGGTCAAATTTCCTCCGCCATCAGAATTTTCTGACCTGAAAAATCAGAGCCATCCCAGCAGGGGGAAAATAGAGTTCTAGTTCAATGGCTTAGATCCTGAGACTGAGGACTCAAGGCTGCTTTGGGGACCAAGGCTAGAGCTAGAGAAAAGCAGAGGTTGTCAAAGAAAAAAGATGTGAGATGTGAAAGTGGCATCTTACGCTTCAACAAGGAAGTTCTATAGATACCTAATCACTGTGCAGCCACAAATGGGACTTGAGCCAGACCTGCCCCATAGATGTCTACTCCTACTGCCTGTGGTTCCTATTTGATGGTGTCCTTCTTGCTCCCTGTTAACTACATTTCACCTGGATAAAAATTGGCCAGGAGGGAGGGGGTACTAGAGAAAGACATTATAATTTGCCCAAGCGCTGCCAACCCCTAAGGATGGTGTAAATAATATAATCTCATACAGGTACTAGTTGTTACATATTAATTCATTTGTGCAAATAGAAAATGGTATTTGCTCACTGGTGGAATGAGAAAGGAAATTAAAATACACTATGTAGATACTCAGGATTCTGTAGAAAAGAATCCCTGGCACTCAGCAGACAGCAAGGTACTCTCGGCAGCATGTACTAATTCATAAATGGGGTTTGAGTTCTCCACCCCTGTGAGCTGCACAATTTCACATCCCTGATGAAAACTGCAAGGAAGCTACTAATTTTCACTTCAGAAAATGCTCACTGTGAAATTGTATTGGGAATTTAGCCAGAAAGAATTTTTATGTTAATTTCTAGTATGGAGATAGAGAAAGGGAAAAAAAGGAAAAAAAGAAAAAAAAAAACTAAAACTGTTTCAGAGACCAAATAGTCACTGGGGTCATTTTCATTTTCTCACAGGTAAACAAGTCCCCAGATGTCCCCAGTAGTACCATAAATTTATAAAAAGATTTTTGTTTTGTAGAAGACCTGTGGGGCTGGGGTTGGGGGCAGGAGACAAGCAGATCTCCACTTTGGTTGAACAGGAGCTACACTTGGGAATCACAGATCTAAACTACCAGTGACCATCTCCTAGGTCAGGGGTGGGATATCTATGGCTCAAGGGCCAAATCCAGCCCCCTGCCTGTTTCTCTACAGTCCACAAGCTAAGAAGAGTTGCTATATTTGTAAATGGTTCGAAAAAATCAGAAGAAGAATATTATATGATACATGAAGATTACACGAAATTCACGTTTCCATAACCTTAAATAAAGTTTTAATAGAACACAGCCACACCCATTTGTTTATGAATCATCTATGACCACTTTGGTGCTATGAAGGCAGAACTGAGTAGTTACAACATCAACTCATGGCCCACAAACGGAAAATATTTACTATCTGGCCCATTACAGCAAAAGTTTATGTTGTTACTGCAATCAGAAAGGTAATTGACCTTTCGAACTCTGAGAACAGATACCACATCTTTCACCATTTTATCCGAGCACCTGTCACAGTGCCTCTCACAGAGTAGGTGCTCAAGAAGCAAATGAGGGAATCCACAAATGGTTGGGAGGAACACGTCTTCCCACGGGTTTATCTTTCTCCCACAAATAAAGGTGAAGTCATCCAGACTTCTTCCCAGATAAAATTACTATGCATGATGATCTGATGTCACCCAGGGCTACTTTCTTTTATCAACCCATATAACACCACAGTCAGTAAGGTAAGCATCTCATCAGGTCCCAATTGTGCAGATGGTTAAGTTTGTAAGAGTGCTCCCTGATACCTTACATCCTCCAACATTAGCTTAGGTCACTCAAAGCTACAGCACTGAGAAGCTGGAGAATGAAAAGCACCTGCACAAGGACTTAACTTCAAACCTGACTTGTTTTCCAGCCTTCCCTAATAAGCTTCCCTAATTAGCTCAATTCCAGTAAGCCACTTAGTGAAGCATGGCGTTAGGGATAGGAAAGGCTGAGAGAGCATGTACGACAGAGTGACAGACTTAAAGGGATATCCCTCATTCAGAGTTCTGAGTAACCCAGACAGGCAAGATGTCTCCAGATCCTTCTATTCCTACTTATGAGTTGGATTGAATCCGCAGACAGATCAATTGAATTGTAGTCAATGAACTTATGTGGTGGCCACGGGAAATCAGTGGTATTTACTACACCCGAGGTCTCAAAGATGACCAGAACTCCTGTCTGCCCTCAAGCTTGAAGGCTATCGGCTCGATAGACATGTGGGCAAAGAATGACAAAGTGCTAAGTGCTATGATGGAAGTACGCAAAAGGTGCAGTAATGGTGCCTTTTAACTAATGCTCCTGTCCTATCCTCGTCCCCCACCACTTCCAGCCATGTTCCCACTCTTTGTGATGCTGAATATCACTTCTCAAGGAATCACATTATTATTCTCTCTAGTCTTGACACCCCGATTCTTCCTCACCACCCTCTCCCAGGTATTATATACCAGGAGAGGAAAAAGATTGGCCTTAATGGAGGAGAAGAGAAGGAAAAGAGAAAAACATAAAGGCTACTGGGGAGGCATAACCATGAAGAAATCTGCAAGAAAAATAAAGGATATTCATTATTTTTATTGTTTTCGAGTAATTATATTACTGATAAATACATTCTCCAGCCCTACCCCAAAAAAGTTTCTCTAGGGAAGTCAGAGAAAAACTCACGGAGGAGGCAGTTCTTACAATGGGCCTTAATAGCTGTGCAGGAGTTGGCCCGGTGGATGGGGCCTGGGGAGAAGAGCTAACAAGCTAACACCTCCCTGCTTAAGCTTCTCGAGCAACAGTGGACTCAGTCAGTGTCTACAGACCCTGTTCTCATTCTTGTAGCCCAAACATTAATGGAGGTTGTGATCTGGAATAGAAAAAACGAAGAGGAGAAAAGGGAGAAAAGGTAGGAAGGTAATGGCTTCATCAAGGAAATGGGGTTTGAACAGGGCTCAGTTGTGTCAAGCCCCATCTGTGGGGTCACCTCCCTTTCTGAACACTTTGCTCGATTCCTCCCCACATCCCAGAGGCAAGGAAGCATGACCACACAATGGGGAGGGTAATAACTGTCAGGTCACTGATCCCAAAGGAAGAATGTTCTCAGTTGTACCAACTGTTCTCCTCCCAACTTTCTCTAAGAACAGTAGCTCAATAATGTGACTGGTGAAAAGAAACTGAAGAGCAGGAATTTCATTTATTACCGCACATCTGTTTTCCGACAGAGCAAATAGAACATTCCACATCCTCTAGCCTTTAAGAGCACCCATCTCTAAAAAACTTTACAGCTTCATTTGGTTTAAATAACAATGGCCTTGGCTCTTCTGCTGAAGCAGAACGGTACTGGTCTTCCAGAATGCCGGCATCGCAAACTGCTGACTGAATTATCTTGTTCTCCTCTTCTCTACAGCTAGAGGGACAGGGGGAACTGTAACTCCTTGCATTGGGTCGTATAAACAAAACTGCACTTCTTTTTTTTTTTTTTAAAGATTTTATTTA